ATTAGGGAGACTATTTATATATCGCGTATGACTGAACACGTAAATAATAGTAATCCAATGATGTCAAACGACAGACATTTCGTTTTGCTTGTTCATCTAATAGTTTTACTTGTTGATCTAAACGCGGTGATTGCGATGTCGCATTGTCGATTGGAATCTATAAAGTATATGTTATGGCTTCTACGTGATCGAAGCGAGGGAAGAGCCTACGGTGATTACCTGCACCGCTGGTCGACTCGCATCCCCAGGATCGTCGGATACGTGTCGCGGGCATAACTTTCGGCAATGTCCTGCGTCGATCTTGATAATCTCCCCGGATATCCCTAGATAAAATCAATTCATTTATAGGAGTTAGAAACTATTAGGTGTACAAATTGGCAAAAATAAAAGTCGGAGCGTGGAATTAACAGAAGCATGAACAGAGTTTTCAAAAGACGCATAAAAATTGAGACAACAAAATATAAAAGAGGGTTTAAGCTTTCCTTACGTTTTATTGTGTCAATTCGACTTTACATTCTAATTTTTATTTTCGCCGGAGAAATTAAAGAGAAAGAAAGAGGGAGTCTATAAAAAAGGTGGCGCCTAGAGGAGAACGTTCGAATCGCCGTGTTTGTGTACAACTCTGTTATTTTTGCGCGTAAACGCGTGGGACTCGGAATGCGGGAGTATTTGTCATCGACGCCGTAACGGGGAAGGTTTCCGCGCGATTTATCGCATTATGTTACATGCGAATAAAAATATGACCTGAGTGAAATGCGTCGGTTGTCGTCCAAAGTGAGCAAATTGACAGAGGATCGTTTGGCAGAAGGCGCACGATGTTCTAATTGAAATATTAATTTCGATTAAAATGCTGCCGGACCATCTCCTTCTTCATAAGTGGTCAAACGTCACCGCCGTTCAATTGAAGCCAATAGGTGGACGACCAGAATCCGACGCGCGCGATGTGAAATTTCGATTCCAGATCAGAAGAATGAAAGTATTTTATCCTTCAGTTACACGCGAATGTTTAATAGTAATTACTTATAAATTCACAGTGTCAAATTATACCAATTTAAGTTATTTTTTATCGTTTCTACAAATCGCGCTACTGTTCCTATTGAATATTCGTTGATTTAACTAAAACAATGAAGTTATACTTAATTGACTCAAGAAAAAATGTATTAAATTTGACTTTTTAGTTTATTATTTACTGTGTACGTTAATAAGAACGTTGTTTACTTTGAAACTAATTACAAAATAAATTAATTTACATTTTGACATATGTATGACTTACAGACACACAGTGACCGGATGTTCCCTTCCCTCTTAAAGCACGGGAGAGGGAAGGGTACACTCGAATGAGGTGGTACTCTTATAACTATGAATCGTTCATTAATATATATTCTGCTCAAATTTTCTCCATGAATATCGCACTTTCTTTCTTTCTCTTTTTTTAAATATATTTTAATTTAAACGCTCACCATATCCAACTTCGAGCATCTTCTCATGTCGGGCGCAGCACGTATGCTGTCGCGGTTCTTCCGAATGCACTTTTCCCTCGTTCCCAGATTCCTTCTCGCAGAAAGCTAAGCAACAAAAATCGCGAGGCGATCACGAGTGGAACTCAATTGATAATTAAAAATTTATGATCAGAATTATACGAGAGTTATAGACGCTTCTTAAATGATGTGATATTAATGGTACGAAGTATACACCTAGTCGATTTAAACGAAATAAAAATTCCAAATTTAAATTTAGACTCAAAATTTTGATGTACAATTGAAATTTAATCGTGTCTTCTAGATAACTATTCTTGAAGCAATAATGGAAATTAGTGTAATTTTGGTAAGTTTGATTTTTCATTATGTGGGGAAAGAAATGGATCTTTTCTTTCGCTAAACGATTCTGTTATCGCAAAAGAAGCAAGATTACGCGTGTAGCAACCAAATTTTAACTACTTATCTAAAATTCCTTTGTTATTAATATTCGGAATGTATTTGGCAAAAACGTGTTTAAAGATTTCATAATTATTATTATATATATGAGTTGTAATTTGAATTGAGATTAGATTTAGATTTTTCGTCTCTCTTATGTTTTTTTATTGGAAATTATTTAAAAAATTATTAAAAAATTGAAAATGTAGGTGCTGTTCTTTTGATTCTTTAAATTTTTTAGAGTTGAATCTCACTCTATAAAGAGTGTAATCTTACCCTTAAAGATACAAAATCTTTTTCAAGGGTGACAAAATTTTTATTCTTTAGAGTGAGAAGAAGAGAGATGCCAAGTATAATTCTAAACATATAGAATCTGTAGATACATATATAATATAAGTTTACAGCATATTAGGAGTGTGAATTAGTTTTGAGGGTTTCGTAACAGATGAAAGTATTTTGATTAAGGTATTCGTTCATTATCTTGTTTAAGTAAATCATTTCTTGAGAAGAAAAACCCTCCAAGAAGAACTAAATCACACAGCTAATACATCGTTACGTGTGCTCTGACGGAAAGCAAGAACGGTGAAAAGGGGAGAGGCTTAATCGGCAGATTACCTAATCGCAAATTAGCCACGCAGACTAAAGCGAAACCGGCGAGGACGGTCCACCGTCCCCTCGCGCTTTGTACGCGCATATCGATACCGATTGTCGAGCGGATGACAAAACGTGAGAACGTTCACCGACGAAAAGGAGAGGCCGATCACCTCGTGATCTCTCTCTCTCTCTCTCACGATCGTGACGCGAATCTCCGGATCTCCAGAGGATGATTCCGAAGCATCCGGGTGTGCGGCACCGTTTTGCTTTCTTCCGTAAATTGGCGAAGACGGTGATCGCGCGGATCCTGGTCGAAGGATCGCTCTGTCGAAGTTTTTCTTTTTTTTTTTTTTTTTATAAAGGATCGATCGCGTATATCGAGCTCGTAGTGCTGCCTACACAGCTTGCAATCTGCGGGAAGACTGGTCGTCTGCCGTGGCCGGCTGGGAGACGTCCGGCTGACAGCGGCGGATCTCTATTAATCTCGTTTGCTCGACGGGTCCCGCCTCGTGACGGACCGTCCATCACGGTCTCTTGCCGACCCGGTCACCGTCGACGGCCGCTCGATTTTACGCTCGCAAATGTACGTTCTGATTAGTCATCTCGCGCGGCTATTTTAATTCGTTTCTACCTCTGGGGATGAGTGTAGGATAATGGAACGAAGGAGTCCTCACGCGATGAATCTCGTTGTGGAGTTAATCCGTAGTCAGTATTTGTCGGGATCTTTCATTTTTTTTCTTTGTCGCTATATATATTTAACTGTTACGTTTTATTGATTCAATAGAATGTATGTACACACAATAGGCTTTGTATGATAATATTGTAGTCTTAGCCGTAAGAAATTGATCAATATCATGATCAATTATTATTCTCACATTCGACCATCATTTTTCTTATTGAGTAAATAATTTGTTTACTGCAAGTAAATGTTAGTATTATTTAAAGAAATATGTATTAAGATTTACCAATTTCTTTTTGTTGTACTGAACGCAGTCATTGTCTTCTACTGTTATTGATATTTTGGAACGCAATCCGAAGTCATCAGAAGCGCGGACGATTATTCCTCGAATTCGCGGTACGTCAGCTCAATACGATTTAAAACGCGGCCTAAGAGGATCTTTCTCGATTAGATATCTGTCTCAAAATAGGACAGATATCTAATCAATATCATTTCATATAATGCCATTTCATAAAAGATAATATCTCGTTTTTCTGGTAGAACCTTTCGTGACTTTCGTCCCTTTCCGTTCTCCTAATGATATTTTTGTTGCCCTGGAATTCAGGGCGGAGGGGAAACAGGATATAGGAGAATAAAAAGGATCGAAAAAAGGACTATCTATCCCTCCTGTTGTTTGCCGCGGCGCAGCTACGGGAAGGGGGAGTCATTCGTCCGGTTGCAGCATCATCGCATCTGATTACACCGGGAGAACTCTTGCCGTCCTTCCCCGCCCCCTCCGCACGCTCGTTAACATCCGTGTTACCGTCAGGGTCGTTGAGAGGTTCGCGCGAGAGTCATTATCATTATCCATAAATTACCGCTCGCGCGCGCGCGAATCTCAATTTCGTTCACCGCAACCCGCAGGAGAGAGTAGGGAAAAGGACATTATTCGACGGAACCGTCCAAAGGCGTACAGAATGTTGATACGAAGCGGACAAAGGGGTGAGAGAATGAGAGACGTCATGAGAGAGTTTATCGTTTGTTAATAAAAAAATTAAAAAATAAAAAAGTAGGTACATTTTTGTCACTTTTTTTGACGAAATAAAAACTCCGAATGTAAAAGTGACATTTCTTATTAAAATAAAACAATTTTTTATATTTTTATATTGTTTTATATTATATTTTATGATATGTACAATATATAATATATATATATATATATATATATTACATGTGTTGAAAATAATTGCGTTTCAAGTTTGTTATAAGTTTTGATATACGTGTCTATAGTATACTGTTTAATTTCATTAAACATGCGTGAACAGCGAATTGTGAATATTCCGAATAGTTCTTGTTTTATCTTTTTTTTTTATCGGCGATTTCCCGCTGAGCTCACCAGGTGAAGATAGATTTGCGTTAAATATAATTAACAGATAAGTGCTGTGCACAAAAGATTGGTGTATGACTCTTTACTTGACGCGATTATTTCAAAATACGTATATTATTAGATTAATAGATTATATTTATTTGTGTCAATTATTTTTATTAAGAATAAGTGCAAATGTATATCAACTCTGTCCATGTGATTTTCTGCATTGATTTATTGTTATTAAAGATACTATTTATCAAGTCAGTTTTATGGCTTTATAATTATTTGTGTAGTACAAAATATAACCGAATTAATAAATTGACACATTATATAAGAAAACACAGTATCAGAACTTTTTTTTTACAATATGCATAGATATATCTGTTATTGACAGTCGATAATTTGTAGTACCTCGTATAATGATGCAGTTGTGCACGTTTTGTGTGCAGAGGTGCCAGTAGATTGTTGTTTTGTTGATGAGGTTAGCTTGATCTAAAATTTCTCATTGAAATCTTGCCGTTAATAGATATCTAAATAAGTGAATTAATATATAAATAAGTAAGGAGTTTAATTTGATTATATTGATCTTTGTTTTTGTGAAATAGGTAAAAATCCAGAATTTATAAGTTTTATTTATATACAATGATAGAGTCAAGAGAGAGAGAGAGAGAGAGAGAGAAACTGAACACACACATCTCAGTATTTTGTATTTTTGCTGCTCTCTTCATTATAAATATATTTTAACAAATGTTTAAATATTTCAAAAGTTTTTACTAGAATTTAAAATTACATTATTGTAATATTTCAATAAATTATTCTCAAACATATTGTGTTTTCTTTATTTAATACAAGGTCTGTTTTAAACATTTTACATTATTCATCTGTCTTTTTTTTCTTGTTACATTAAGATATGCAAGTTCAGATAAAGGAAGAAGAAAAGAACAGATCAATTATTACTTTTGCAGAATGTCTACTAAATCAAGAAAGAGCTTGTCGTCATGGCAACAATGCGACAAGTGTCAATGTGCTTTGGCGCAAAAGGATATTTCTGTGCACGAAGTAAGCTGTCCACCTTCTACCGAAAATTGGGATCATCCATTCGTCCTTAATGGAGTTGTGCATAGCACAATAGAAGTCTTCCAAACACAAGGTATGTGATTATTGATATTTTCATAATTAATAATATAAATTTTTATTTACATTTGCTTTAATTCATGGCGTTGTGTATCTCGTAGAATTACCCAAACGAATTTCTGAGAAGGATGCTAATGATATGGTATTTATGTCACAGTTTTCTTTACAACTGTGCGAGATTGCAATTGGATCACCGACTGTTATTGTGACGAAAGATGAGGTAGTTGTGAAAACAGCCTGGCCGACTAACGATAAAAGTTTGACAAGTGTCTCTTTAACAAAACATGGTAATTTTTATTTTATAATTTTACTAACAAGTTTAACTGATGAATTAAATTAACGCTAATCCTGTCTTTTAGCCATTGAACTAAATAATCTGTCAGGATTAACCAAAATATATCCTTTGACGTCTACTGTCTATATTGCTAAGGAAATTGTAATTAGTCAACAAGGAAAACGTTTGTCTGATGTAACTGTGGAACTTGATAATATTCTAAAATATTTTAATGAACACAAGATATTTACCATGGGCAATAGAATAAGTGTACCATATTATGGAAAAAAGTTGATATATAAAATTGTTGAAATCAAAACAGAGGAAAGCAAGAGAAAGCAAGTCGAAACAGTGGATGTAGACTATCTATCGAATGCTTTTAAAGAAATAAATGTAACATCTCCTTCTGCAAAAGTAGTTTTTTATAAAGCGCTCTATACGACAAAGTGGACAATTCTGGATAAGAATAAAGAAAATGTTGCAAAGGAAAGGTATAATATTGAAGATATAGGTGGATACAACAATCTTATATCTGACATAAGAGACATAGTGGCAATAGGCATTGGCAAGTATAAAAATATCGAACGCTTTAATATCTGCAAAGGGATTTTATTATTTGGCCTCTCTGGCGTTGGTAAATCTATGATAGCCAACGCTATAATCTCTGAATGTAACGTTAATACATTTACCGTGTACAGTTCAGATATTTACAGTAAATCTGTTGGTGAAACGGAGAGTAAACTTAAAGAGGTGTTCGGCAAAGCGATATCAAGCGCTCCCAGCATAATACTGTTGGAAGATGTGGATAGTCTATGTCCTAAGAGAAACAGTTCCAGTACAGATCACGAGAAGAGGGTCCTTGCTCAATTAATAACGCTTTTTGATGATCTGCAAAATACCAACAGTAATGTGTTAGTAATGGCTACCACTGCAAAGTTAGATATTGTGGACAGCTCTTTAAGGAGACCTGGGAGATTGGACATGGACTTCGAGATTTATGTACCGACTCCAGACATGCGTAAGGAAATATTGATAAAGTTACTTTCGAAAATTCCCAATACACTTTCATGTGAAGATATACAGAATATTTCATTTATTACTCATGGCTTCGTTGGTGCGGACCTGTACGGTTTATGCTCCAGAGCGATAATCAACGCTGTGAAATGCTATCAGAAGAATAAGGCTACGTCCGACGATGAACCAAATGACCCAAATGAACCAAAGGTGACAATGACCGATTTTAGTTACGCTCTGACTACAATAAAGCCTTCAGCTATGAAAGAAGTTCTGGTAGAGATACCGAATGTGAGGTGGTCTGACATCGGTGGACAAGAAGATTTGAAGTTGAAATTGAAGCAAGCTGTCGAATGGCCGTTGAAACATCCCGAAGCCTTCATAAGAATGGGCATTACGCCTCCTAGAGGCGTTTTAATGTTCGGACCGCCTGGATGCTCGAAAACCATGATCGCGAAAGCACTCGCTACTGAGAGTAAAGTTAACTTTTTGAATATTAAGGTAAGTCGTTCAAAAAGTTTATTTACACTGTTACATCGCGTAATTGTTTGCAGGGCCCGGAGCTGTTCTCCAAATGGGTAGGCGAGTCTGAGAAGGCTGTAAGAGAAGTATTCCGAAAGGCAAGACAAGTAGCACCGTCCATCATATTTATCGACGAGATAGACGCACTAGGTGGTGAAAGGGGTTCGTCTTCTGGTGGCAGTGGAAGTAACGTGCAGGAACGAGTATTAGCTCAACTACTAACTGAACTTGATGGCGTTACCGCTCTAGGAAGCGTCACATTGGTAGCTGCTACTAATCGACCGGATAAAATTGACAAAGTAATATTTTCTATTTTATATAATTGATAAAAGAGTATAATTAAATTTATATATTGGATTGGAGGAAGAGTTCTGCTATATTTTATTAGCTCAAAATTGTACATATTGTACATTTAAAAAATTAGCGATTATACCATCTGATAGAGTAAAGTTTCAACTTTAAGAATCTGATTTTTTAATTGCGACACGATGATTTTTAACGGAGCAATTAAAATCAAAATGTTCCTTTACTTAACTCGCGAATAATTCAGGAACAAAAAATCGTAGGAACATTTCTTAAAGACAAATTTTTAGGAGAAACTTCAAGCTTTTACGTTAGTCGATAATTTTCGTAAATTTTTTTTTTAATATTATACATGACAGATTTACAAAGTGAGAAGAAGAAAAATGTCCCTTTTTTCAGCTTGTGTAGTTTTTTATATGTAAAAATTATCAAATTCACATAAACTAAAAAAATTATAAAAACCTTTTGAAAGTAGAAATTTCAAGCATTAAAATCTTTTTTCTAATATTTTGTTTATTTTTTATGAAAATATTGTATATATAGTTTTGAGCTAACAAAAACCGCAGAACCTTTTTCCCAACCCAATAATACGATATAAAATCAATTTTTGAAGAACTAGTGTCTCTGACTATAATCTTTGTTATGATAAAAAAAGAAAGTTCTCTGTATATTCATAAAAAAAGGCAGAGTAAATTTAGCACAAAGATATAAGAAAACAGTGATGTTATATTATACAATTATGATCAAAGATATAAAAACAGTTACAAAACTTTAAATGTACAATATTAAAATAATTAAATTAATCCCTCGTTAAGTATTTTTCTATTAATATCAAAAATATTATTTAATACCTTTTTAAAATATCTTTTTTATTGATAGATTATAATTGATAAAGTGAAAAATTGAACAATTTAATGGTTGTTTTGTATATAATAAAAAAAATGAATATTTTATAATTTCTAACTTATATCTCTTTTATATTATGATTGCAACAATAAATATTTCAGGCACTTCTCCGACCTGGTCGATTAGACCGTATCATACATGTGGGATTGCCAGACGAACAGACCAGACAAGAAATATTCGAGATAAAATTGCGACATATGAACATTGCAAAGGATGAAATAAATTTTGTGGATCTGATCAGTTTAACAGAAGGTTACACCGGCGCGGAAATTCAAGCGATATGCCATGAAGCTGCCTTGAAGGCGTTGGAGGAGGACATTAATGCTACCCTTGTTACCAAAAAACATTTTATTGCCGCATTTAGAGTCATCACTCCTAGAACGCCCATTTCTCTCATTAAGATTTACGAGGAATATACGAATAAAGTTTTATAAGAATTATACGAGGAATGTATTTTTATTACGAGAAAGGACGTGAAAAAGATTATTTTGATTTCAGTTTTTTTTCTCATGACGGCTGATCTTTAGAAGAAAAAAGGTGAGGAGGAACAAATCTGCATAGTACATACTTAGAAATTCAATCAATTACATGAACTTTTATTAATTTTATTACGGACTAATTTGTAAATTTTATTTAATAACGACAAGAATCGCAGGAAATGAATAGAATGTCATTTTTTACCTGCTGTTATTCTACAACTTTTTACGTACACCTAATCTTGCATCTTAATATCCCTTTCGAATCCACTTATAATTTATTCGTTAAAAATTAATACGCATACATAACGTATATAAGTACATTAAGATAAGCTGTAAAAAAATATCGACTGAGGCCAACAAGAAATTCAAAACGGGGAACGACGGCGCGCGTTACAAATTACACGCCTCGAATATGTGTATTCAAAACATCGTATAATTTATTCCTTCGATGACGTGGCCTTAATGTAATTCATCACTATCGAAACTAGCCGATAACAATGACGATACGATTAATAATAATAATAGACAAGTTTGCTGTAGGCGTGACAAAATAAAGTGCGGAATATATGTCAAGGGCGGACTTCCAATTCTCCCGCCACGCCATATTAATCGGATAGTCCGTTGCTTTCGCCGGAACGATTCGGACGATGGTACGGTTTATCCGAGCGATAATCAACGATAAAATTGCCTGTTAAGTTTCACGCGCGGAAGAATAAAGAGCGAGAGATCGCGTTAATTATTAATCGGCTCAAGTACGTATATGTACGTACACGTTGCATGTCTCTATTATATCCGACTATAAACCTATTTGCGTCATCTCTCTCTCTCTCTCTCTCTCTTTCGCGCTCTTTCTCCTTCTCTGTCCCCAGATGTTTGTCGATTGAGTATTTGTAAGTGTTTCGCTGTTGTTTGCAGTCGTTATCGCGTCCCACGTTACACGTTGACGGAACCGAGAAAATTATGTGCGTAATGAGGAGGCTGCTCGCTCGTCGCTAAAAGCAGCAAAAAGCAGGAAGATCTCAACTGAGCGGATAGGATCCAATTCAACGACGACATTCCTCGAATTTCTTGAGATCATCGATTTGTGCCATGAGACGTCGTTCCTCGGCCCCGAGGAAGGAGAGTAGCGTTCATTTCGTAGTCCCGTATTGACGGATTTCTCTTCGAACGAGATAACCTCGCAAAGGACGAATTTTGCCGCAGCTTTCTGGTTGCATGTACGTTACACTCATTACATTTCTGTCCCCTGACTGTTAATTGCTTCTGGTAATTAGTGATTGTCGCGAAACGTCATCGTGAGACGTTGTAAAATATTCATTACTTTGTATTGCACCAGCATCTAATTTTTGTACATTCTCGCAGTCTAAAGTCTCAGAAATTAATTACAAGATCGCAGTGGAGACAATTTTATAAATAATATTGTGATCTCTTATAAATAAATATGTCTGGATAGATGTAAAGCCCATTTAAACTTTGACATCTTATAGATCATAATATTATACATACCAACAAATCAAATGTGTTTTGGGAGAAAATTATTTACATTAAGGAAATTATAAATGCGTAGCATTTTAACAAAAATTTATTAAAGACAGTTGCTTATTTATAAACAGCTTTAGTTGATACTATATTAGTTCAGTGTTTCAAAGATCAAATTTAAAATACAATATTGACTAGCAACAGACGGTTTTATAAATATTTATATATTGCCATTTTAACAGATCCTCAAGTAAGATGTCATTGATTGAAGGAGTAGGCGATGAAGTCACAAATTTCTTCATTGTCATGACCATACTATTGGTAGGATGGCTTGCTTGGTGTTCAACAAGTATTGCGGATCAGCCACTGATACGTACAGTACTTATCTTGCGGGATCGAGCTCCTGCACGTATTGCTTCAATAAGAGCTAATCAACGGGACACAAGTAACCTTAGTGTCCAAGATGTTGCTCAGTCTCACAGTTCAGAAACAGCGGAAGAAGAAACATTAGAAGCAACTTCGAATAGTAGCGATAGTATACATGTAAACTGTCCAAATGCTGCTGTCGTAGGTAAATATCTCTCTCTTTCTCTCTCTCTCTCTCTCTCTCTCTTGCTCGCAAGATATTACTTAAAGTATTAGGCTGAGTCCACAATCTCTCTTTAAGAAGCCCTAAGCTGTAAAGCCATAAAAAATTGACCAATCACAGAAAATTATTTTTCTCGCATTCAACTATGATTGGTAAATTTCTTACGGCTTTACGGCTTACGGCCTCTTCAAGCAAGGTTGTTACACCCAGCCTTACTTTTAAATATTACTTAAGTCTCTTTTTGTATTGTAATCATTAGATACAACTGAATTGTCTCAAGATGTCTCGAGATCAACAGAATCTACAGCAGAAGAAGTACTTATTGAAGCCATGGATTCGTTCAGCAATGCTGATCGATCGCTGTTACAAAGAACAGTCAAGGCAAATAATTCTGACTCGGCATTAGACCAAACTACTAGTAGTTCATCAGAATGTATATCAGAAGGGTCAACCTTAGGTGATAGCAGCCAAAATGATATCACCATAAAATTGAAATTTATGAATGACGATCAGAAAATAGTCACAGGGAGTCTTAAAGAAATGCTGGGTGATTTTAAAAGGTACTTCTAGCTTGTACACATTTCTATCGTCACTAAAGTTGTAACAGTTTTTATTACACATTTATGAAAGATTACACAAGCTCTTAATAACATTGTTTCTTATTTCATATTTATTATGACCTATCTTTAGATCTGTAGCAGTAAAATCTTTTGCATTTTGCAGGAGGCACTTTCAAATAGAATTGGAAGCACGTAATGCGGTACGATTAGTATTCAATGGCCGCGTATTGCAACCTGACACTCAGACCCTCGAGCAGTGCGGCTTGTTCAACGATTGCGTCGTACACTGTTGGGTGCATCAACCGCGACCAGCTACCGTACCGTCTGCCACGATGGATAACTCGTCGTCCATTTATTTCAATTCCCAGCCGTTCTCGGATCTGCCCACCGATGCAAGGATAAGTTCGATACACGACTGGGACTTGAGTTGGCTCCTTGTAAGCCTTCTGACGATCATTCTAGGTCTCGCGTGGTATTCGCGGTATCATTACGCTCAACTTTTCACTGCGACAACCACGATCGCGCTCTACGCACTCACCGCGATCTTCACGGTATCTCTGTTTAGTAATTTCTTTTCTGATCAAGATAATATTCGGAACGTGGAATGATATGACGATGATGACGACGACTACTATGATCCCTTCTATGATTACTTCTATTTTAATTAAGAAAGCACCTTAAATACAAATCGGTATAATATACATTGTAAAGGGTGGTGCGTACTACGTATACTACTGATTCAATGGAATCAGTCCAACGGTAATCTCTATCATCGAGCATTTGCTTTTAACGTAATAGACTCGAGATCAGGTTTATCGTTAATGATAATGAGCTCACTATTTTGTGATTTTCATCTTGGTGTTACTCGTAAAACACCGATTGCGATATTTCTATTATACAATATAATGTTTCTCTGTTGAATATGATTAAATATATTTATATACACAAGAGGTGCGTTAAATTATCGCATAAATTCTAGTGTATTTCTTGCAGAAGATTTCAAAAAAAATTTTCTTTATGATTCACGATAGCAAGTGACCTATCTGTCATTTTAGCATATTATATTTAAAATATATAATACATATATGTTATAGATTATATATTTATATGAAAAGTATATAATAAGTTGTCTTTTGTTAGATATAAAATAATTAGATGAAATAATAAGAGTCAAAATAATCATGCTCGAATGTTATGTTGCAATAATTCTAAAATACAATAATAAATAAGTTTCTATTCTCTTTCTTTCTCTTTCACGAACTCGCATCTTGCTCTGAAGAATATAACAGTAACATGATGACATTGCTACATCTCTCGGAAAAAAACTTATGACTTTTAGAATTGACTTCAACACTTAAGATTAATTATTACATTTTGATATTTATTCAAACGTAATTATTTTTATCTTCATTCCTCTTTTTTTACTTCTAGTTTCCTTTAAGCTTCATGTAGAAGGCTATGCATATATATTTTTTCTGTAAGAAATATCGCTTTGTGGTGTTTACGTTATAAAGTAATTAGGAAATACTCTGTACGATAAAATAAGTTTCTATAAGATACATTTTTCTTTGCAAGATACATACATATATATAAATTCTGAAAAAAAAGAATATCACTTTTTATTCAGTGAAAAAATGAAAAAATTAATTAACAGTTTATTTTTCTAATTTTTATTATAGCTAACTAAATTATAAAATTAGAGAATTATATACAAATATTTTCTACAGGTATAATCACTTACAAGTAAAGTTATCTTTCCGTGACTCGCCGAATTTAATGAAATTTGTGGTACATTTGTAGAGTGAGCAAAAATAATAGACACGTATTTTTTTATATCGGCAATGGTGCAGATTTAAGGGGTGAAACTTTTCCGAAAAAACTTTTTCGGTTTTTCTCTTTCGAAGCGAATATCTTCGTAACTGTAAGAGGTAGAAAAAAAGTTCTATATACAATGAAAATAGAATGGTTTCAACAGTACTTCAGAAATATAATTAAAAATAAAATTTTATAATTATTTATTTATTTTTATAATAAAAATTATTTAAAAAAAATAATTTTTTTGATTACATTTCTGAAGCCATTCTTGAAGCCATTCAATTTTCATTCTAGAAATTTTTTTCTACCTTTTATAGTTTCGAAGATATTCGCTTTGAAAGAGAAAACCCAATTTTTTCCAAAGGGGTGTTTTACCCCTTACATCTGTACCATTGCCGATATAAAAAATACATGCCTATTATTTTTGCCTATTCTACAAATATACCAAGTTTCATTAAATTCGGCGAGTCACGGAAAGGTAACTTTACTTGTTAGTTATTTTCTTCGATTTTCTAGTGCATTGTATTGTTGGTGCTGTGTGTGATTCGTGAACGTTTTGTTCCGCTGAATTTAATATAGAATTGTTTTACGTGCTTTTAACGCGTTGACTGTCACGTCATTCATAATTATATGAACATTATTGAATTTTGCAACAAACTTCCAAGAAGCAAACATGTTTTCTTTTTAGAAGTCATTTTTTTTACTGTTAACGTCATTTAATGCGATAAGACTTCTTTGTTATTTATATTTGCATGTTCAGCTGCTCTAAAAAAATATGTTAATCATGTATTAATAAATACGTATCGCGTGGCAATCAACATATTAAGTATTACGAAAATGTGTCTAATAGTGTGAATTCCAGTTACCATTAGTATAAAGAGAGAGTTAATTTGAATGAATTTTGTACTGATAAAGGAGAAAGAACAATTGTCCCTGATCTCTAAGACGTAGCAACCTGAAAGTCGTCTACTTACGTTATACTTATTTGTACATGAGAAATAATTGCATAGAATACAAATAAAATCAATTTTTTGTAAAAAAAAAAAAAAAAAGTAAATTACTAAACAGACATTCACGTTGGAGAAACTCTTCAGGAGATGCATAAAAAAATATAAATGTAAGTTTCATCGAAAGCTTATAGCATAACATAAGGACGAGCGTGATACAGATATGTACTATGGTCTTTGACTAGTGTACTATAATTTGTTAAATTAAATTAATTATATATACATATATATACACACCCATACACGATTGTTTTAAATAATGCCAATAAATGTTTATTTATTTGATACTTATTTATCATACAATATATAGTTGTCCTTGTTTCTTAATGTGTAAAATTTTGTATATTATGTTAAGACAGATCTACGATGATTATCAAATTATCGATTATTTCTTTTTATATAGTAGTCAAATCATTTTTTATATTGACCAACAACGCATAAAATATATATATGATAACAAAAACGGGAAAAAATTGAGATAAAAAATATAATTAATTCTTTTTATTCCTTAATGTATACAAAATCGTTAATAACAGAAACTTTCATCAAAAATACATTTATTTTTTAAATTACGTAATCAAACGCTATGACTCGTATCAATAGTTTATATATATCATAAAATTATATCGCTTCCTAACTGCTTCGTAGTAAATACTTTCATTGTCAAAAGAAAATAAAATTAACTACACATCTTCCATTTGATTCTATAAATAGATAAGACGCATCTTTTCAAAAAGTTGTAAAATAAAATTACAAAACGTTATAATGCTGGTAAACTAGTCTTTGTTTTCTTTTAATCGTACATTGAAAAATTCAGGGAGATAACTTTTTATATATATTTTTTTGGTCTCATTACTTCTAACAATTGTTTATTGAACATGTCTTCCTCCACTGGCGTATCATCCGTTTTGGTAATTTTCTTAGCATTGAGATAAATATCATATGTACAACCATACATACCAAATACCAAATCGATTTCCTGTTTCAAACGTTTGTATGTGAGAGGACCATGTTGTGAATTATATAAGTAAATCTTATTCTTCGAAGACGCGCCGTATCGTGGTTGCAAGTTTAAAAGTTTTACGTTAACGTAGCTCACAGAGGATTGCGATTCCAATGACATTGTACTGTCTTCCTGTGTTGACGTTAGACTGGTCGATGTTCTGACCAACATGAGCCTCATATCAATGTCCTTGATTTTCTGCATCTCTTCAATAATGACATCAATATTGCGAGGTAACTCTGTCATATCTTTCAGTGGTGTCTTGGTCACGTTCTCGATGAAATCCTTGTGACTGACGATGACCTTCGCCAAGTTACCGTTCATGTCTTTGATCTCGTAATACGCGACGGCTTCATCGGAGGGCACAAGCCGTGCTTTCTTCCGCAGCTTCTGCACTCGATTGATCACTTCACGTGCTATTCCCTCGTTGTGCATCGCCTCGTCGGCAGTAATGTCCAGAAGGATCAGTATGCTTCCTTCACTGTGAGCCTCGTACTGCTTCGACAGTTGCTCGGCGGCCGGACCGGTGAAGCTGAACATCAGGCGTAGGTCCTGTTCCTCGAGCTTGTGACCCTGCACAACAATTTCCTTCGTGGAGACAAACTTCTGCAGCTGTTCGTCGGATAACTCTTTAATGGCTTGAATTATCTGTTTGAATTCGCCTTTCAAACGAGCACCGAGTGTCTTATGATCTGGTTCTGCTCTCAAGGTCACGCCATACTTCTCCTTGTCAGTAGTAACAGTTAACTTCTTGATGTTGAGCTCTTCGAGTATATATGACTTTAACGAAACAATGTCCCTTAATACTTTGTCATCTCGATGGATTACCACGATTTCCGGCAAAGGATATTTCGTGGGAATGATCTTCCTGTCGCGTACAATGCGACCCAATTGAATGACTGACTGCATGTGCGACACAGCCTTCTCTATGTCTTTGTTAATCAGATGATGTCGCGGATGTGATATCAGTTTGTAATGTACACTGCCATCAAAAACACTATAATCCTTGCTATATTCATCTGAAATGTTCGCGTTAGGAACTTGCTTCATGTCCTCTGTTTCATCAATAGGCTCAGACCAATTACTCGGCTGATACTTGAATTCCTCAGCAGGATGGTTTTTCTTAATATAGTGATAATCCGTATTGTGATAACCGAGATTCTTAGACTCATCATTCGACGAGATGACAACCCATTGGTATAATCGCTGAAACATGAATTCCGTCAAGAATGGTGTGAATGGTGCATAGGTTTGCACCATCGTATAAATTGCTAGAAATAGAGTCGTTAATGCATTATCACAATCTTCCATACCGTCTTCACCTTTGATGCGTTTCCTATTCATTCTTACGTACCAATTTGTGAGATTGTCTATGTACTTTATTAGATAGGGCACCACTGTATACAGTCTATACTCCTCCATCTCTTTCTTCACGAAGATCAACAACGATTGCGTGATGGACATAATCCATTTATCCATTATATTGTTGGAACAGGATTCTTGACTTTCGGCGATTACAAACCTGATCCCCAAATCTTGATACTGGTCGATGTTCTGCATTAGAAAACGGAACGCGTTGTACCACGGCAAGAAGATGTCCTTGATGATGTCTCGGACACCCTCCTCCTTGAACTTAAGATTCTCGGCTCTCACGACTGGCGAATTGATCAGATAAAGACGCAGAGCGTCTGCTCCGTATTTGTTGACCACTTCCATGGGGTCGGGATAATTTTTCTTACGTTTTGACATCTTTTGGCCGTCGGATGCGAGTACTAGACCATTGGCCACGAGGTTCTTATACGGCGCCTTGCCAAACAGTGCGGTGGATATCACTAAAAGTGTGTAGAACCAGCCACGCGTCTGATCGATACCTTCGGCGACGAAGTCTGCCGGAAAGATCTCGTCAAATTTCTTGGGATCTTGATTGAATGGAAAGTGAACCTGCGCGTACGGCATAGAACCGGATTCGAACCAGCAGTCGAAAACCTCAGGTACACGACGCAACGGCGGCTGTCCCGCGCGTTTCGACGGTATTGTCAGATGATCAATGTTCTCGCGATGGATGTCCTTGACTTTTGCGCCCGTCAATCTCTCCAGCTCCTCCATGCTGCCCACGCACACGATCTCTTCCCTGTCCTCGGAGATCCAAAGCGGTATAGGATTACCCCAGTAACGATTCCTGCTGATGGCCCAGTCGCGCGCATCACGCAGCCAATTGCCGAATCGTTTCTCCTTCACGAAATCCGGCACCCAGTAAGTCTCGCTATTTGTCACTAGTAACTTATCCTTGATTTCCTCCACCTTGAGGAACCAAGAGGGCACAGCTTTGTAAATAAGCGGCGTGTCCGTTCTCCAGCAGAACGGATAGCTGTGTTTCATTGTACTGTTGATAATCAGCCTCTTCTTAAGTTGCAAATACTTTATTATATCTTTGTCTGCGAGCTTGACGTACTTGCCGAGGAAATCATGAACCGGCTCTGTGAAGCAGCCGCAACTATCCACGGGACATACAATCTCTTGGTCCTTACGTATGATGCCGGCTTCCATGCAACATCGAAAATCATCCTCTCCGAAGTACGGGGCTTGATGGACGATGCCGGTTCCGGTTTCCGCTGTGACGTAAGCGTCATTCAGGACTCTGAAAGCACCTTTCTCTTTATAATGCAAAAAATATGGGAACAGTGGTTCATATGCCTTTCCTTTCAGGTCTGTGCCCTTCATCCGGTCTATTATGGTATAAGGACCCTTAAGGATTTGCAATTGAGCTTCCAATATGATATAAATGTCACCAGTTCTCTCATTTTTTACCTTTACATATTCAAAAGTAGGATTGACGCATAGTGCTAAATTACTAGGTAACGTCCAAGGAGTGGTGGTCCAGGCCAGTAGAGACACTCCTGGCTCATCCAGCAGGGAAAACGCTACAACGATCGATGGATCTACTACATCCTTGTAATTCTGACCTGCCTCAAAGTTGGACAATGGCGTGTTACAGGCAGTAGAATAAGGCATTACCTTGATACCTTCGTAGATGAGACCCTTAAGGTATAGCTGCTTGAACACCCACCAGATGGACTCCATATACCATGGATACATGGTCTTGTAGTCATTCTTGAAGTCGATCCACCGTCCCATCCGGCCGACAATTTGCTGCCATTCCGTGGAATATTTCATTACGATTTTACGGCACTCCTGGTTGTAAGCCTTGATGCCCATCTTGGCGACATCATCAGGCCCCTTGATACCCAGCTTCTTGTCAATCTCATTCTCCACAGGAAGACCATGGCAGTCCCATCCAAATCGACGCTCTACATGATAGCCGCTTTGATATGCGTACCTCGTCACGATGTCCTTTATGGTGCCGGCAAGGATGTGGCCATAATGCGGGAGGCCGGTGGCAAAAGGTGGTCCGTCGTAAAATGAATACTTTGGCCGGTTACATATAGCAGACATATGCATGCATGTACGAAATACATCAACCGACTCCCATAATTTCAACGTCTTCTCCTCCTCCTCCGCGAAGTTGATAGTCTCCGGAATATTCAACTTTTGAGAACGTAACGTCCCGTCGAAAGCATAACGTTTGACAATCATCTTTGACACACGTTCCGTACCACCGGCTGGAGGAATCCTCGACCCTCGTGGGCCTCGTGGCTAGGTTAGTACGAGCGAATATACATATATCTCATTTTAAGTGTAAAAGTGTACGCAAAGTGTAAGCAAGACGAACAGATCTACTTCACCAGCCGACGATAAAAATCTCCAGTTTTTTACTTGCGTGGGGAATTTATTAATTCCAGTATCTAGTTATTGTGATTGTGTTGGCACTGTATACCTGTATATTTGTTTTCATCAAATTTCACAAAGTTCGGTCATAATTTGAACGCTCATTTTCGGACATTTAGCGCGGTTTAGCTACATTGAATGAAATTTTAAAAAAAAAGTTAAAAAGCACGCGAAAACGATACGTATGATTTCTTTAACACAGGTACCAATGATGTAATTTGTTTGCTATTAATATAAAAATCTATTTAATACATATTTGCCTCTGTATAGAAATCTCCAGCGCACGGAAGTTTTTTTCTCTGCAGTTATATATTAATAATCTCTATTGGAGATGGTAACAATCACAATTTTTAATAAAAATCGAATATTATTAAATTTTATATTATACACGCACGCACGCACGCACGCACGCACACACGCATACATACATACATATCTATAAAACTAATAAATTATGAAATTAGTACCGTGTTATCAGTTTATCATAACGTCTTAAACATAATGTAAAGAAAATAGTATATTCTTGTGCAAGATGATTAACCAAGAAGGATGTTGTATTAACATGATTTATATCTGTTTTGTCATATATTTACAATTATACATTAAATATTAAAATATTATTAAAGTAGTTGTACAATATTTGGAATTATAAAGCAAAGCTTTTTACATTCTTGGTCTTCACTGATTTAAATACTGTAATATTATATATTAATATAATACACATGGCAGTTATATCCTAATAATTAAGTAACAAATGCCAACCTTAGAAAGACAAGTAGTATTTTAAAAAGAGAGACAGACATATATCTATTTCAATCAATGCAAATTAATTTTACTCTTAGTTCAACTTACTTTTCATTTTTTTTTCTAATTCTTAGAGTTCTAGTTCTCTTTGGTTAAAATATTAGTTTTAGAACTTCTAGTTCTAAAAATTAGAAAAACATAATGAATAAGTTGAATCAAGATTAAAGTTAATCTACTTTGGTGGAACTAATATTTGACATACGTAATAAAAAAAACTTCATATATCTAATTCCTAAGTATGAACTATTGATTTCTTTGGACTACAGGAATGTTAATACATTCGTTCAGCAATAAAATACGTTCAAAATCTTACAGAAATGATTGTTGAGGCTACATATGTATAATATAGAAAATAAAGATATTTACACCATCTTTTGTTATTTAATAACAATGAAATAACAAATTATTTTGTTATTTCAAACAGATATATATCATAAATATATATCACCTGATACAAGTATGACTAGATATCGAAATACATAACACAAATTCATGATTGATGCATGACATGCTGTACCCTTTGTTGGCGCTGACCGCCAACATAAATCACTTGTCTCGGCTCGTCCGGATGAATGAGCTCGTCCGTATGTTTCCACTGCCACTTTTTTTCGCTCTCCTTCACGCGTCTATAGTCGATGTAACTGATAACGCAACTCGCTGGTATCCATATAACGGCAGTAATGATTATCACAGCGCCCACAATATTATCTTTCAGAAAGCGCATAACTTTGTTGATGTTTATATCCTCAATTATATCCCAGAATCGTTCCACTACGTCCTGAATTGTCTTCTCACAAACACCCTAAAAAGGTATATGCATGTAATATACAATATTAGACAATAGAAATTGCTTTTATCAAATTGATTATTATAGTATATCTTACTTTGTTGCAAAAACCTTGAATGCATGGCGTCCCATCGGGTAAAATGTCTTGCTGATCTATCGGGAAGCACGTCTCGTTCAAATTCATTCTACAGCATCTTTTACACGCGTCAGCAACTATCAATAACGATAATGTTAATAATTATATCTTTCAGTATAAAATTAATTGTATAATGTATAATCAAATTTAAAAACAGTTAATCTTTAGACTTTTTCTCAATAATCATAGAGATCTTTATAGAATAATAAACAAATCTTCAATTTTTAAACTAAAATAAAGTATAAAAGGTCAAAAATTTGAAAAATAGCAGTTGGTTTCATTGATTGCATAAACATTTTCGTAAATCAACAATAAATTTGTAGAAATATTCTAAAATAAAACTTTTATCTTTTACTGATATAAAAAAAATGATATAAATTAACATAACGAAATTTTTCAACTTATACTGGTAGGTACCCAGTACTTAAAATAAAGTACATACTAGTATCGCACATGCAGCTTTGTAAATTTTGAGTCTCGCAATATGGTACACATTTGCCTAGACGGCATTGACCACGTTCGAGACAACCAGTGCCGTCTTTCATGGGCGGAGATCTCGGGCACTCGCTAGACGCTCCGGTGCAGCGTGATTCCTGTTCGCAAGTAGCATATTGCGCATCACGGCATTTTACGCCCGCAGGCATGTATGCGCAACCCTGGCAGCAAGGTGAATTTTTGTCACTGTTGGAAGAAATAAAAAAAAAGTGCCATTAAATACTGTTGAATATAAATAGCATAAAAAGTTTAATTGTCAAAATTAGAAGAAAAAAATACGAATGTATAATTCTAGGTAGCTTACCTGCAAACTGCTCCTTGATTACTTCGAAGCTTACAATTTTTGTCGCAACACGCGTCATTATCTTCCGTCCCTAAGAGACCTGCGTCGCATTCCTCATCGCCCTCGACTCTCAAATTACCACAGAATGATTCTTCTGGCTCTGAGAAACAGCGTCCAGATTTGGCTTGCAGGACCTTCCTTATGGATCGCAAGCTGCACGGAGAAAATCTCTAGGAGAAAAAAAAACATAAAAATGCAAAAAATAAATTTAAATAAAAACATGTAAGATAAAATATTAATTCCTTATTTAAAAAATAATTAAAATAATGATTTGTGATAGAAATGGCAATGCGAACAAAGTATATACTCTACCTTGTTATTTACATCATAGCCACTAACACTATAGGTATACATTAAGTAAGATCCACCTTGACTTGCACTTGGACTGCACTCCTATACACAGAAAAATATTAAAATTAAATTATAACATATAATAATTTTGAATAACAAAAACTCCTGTTTAAATCAAATATAAACTTGTAGAGAAAAGGGCACTTTTACTATTTGAATTCTTATATTTATTACATGAATTATTTAATGTTAGTTTCAACAAGTCTCAGAAATAACTTACAATATAGAGAGATATTTGAATAATAACTCACTGAGATATCTGGATCATGCTCGGAACCCCAATTATGACCGAATTCGTGTGCTGTAACTAAATCGGCTTCTCTTGTAATCACTCTCTGTCCATAATGATTTCTGCTAGAGCTTAGTCCCGAATTTAAATATAATGTATATCCGTTTTTGAAATATTCTGCAAAATATCAATTTTACTCACTTGTGACATGCAGTAACCCATAAATATCACTACGTATTTGATATAATAATAGATAGAGTAATAGTAAATATGCTTTTAATGTACCTGGTGTGCAGATACCACCCACCGAATTTCTACGAGGAGACCCTACATAGGCTAATCCGAGAATACCACCTTCGAATTTAAGATCAGTAAATAAGTGAGCCAAGCAGAAATCTTTATGGCTATATTCTCGACTAAATACCTGTATTAAGGCAAAATGTCATAACAAGTGACAATTACTTTCAGGACTTAACGACGTTAATTAATAAGAAATTAATAATATTTAAAAAATATTGATAATTAAAGCAGTTAATTTTAAAGGCGCTATTCTTAAAATTGTAATAACCTCGAGCAATGTACGGACGTCCCATTTCTCGCGCACCATATTGTAATGTGTTTCACCACCTCTCACTCGCGTTGGCTCACTATGAACGACGATCTTCTTAATAACAAAACCCATTCCTTTGAAACCGTCCTCCTCTTGATGTTCTTGCCATAAAGTGTCATTGTAAATCTTATGTACTCTATCAATCAAGCTTATCTGTGTGGAATAAGTTAATATTAATAAGTAATATAATATATATTTTCTTTTTATAAATAATTTATTATTTTTTTATTATATAAATAAATATGTTATAAATGTGTATGTTTACCAGATAATTAATTGTAGTTTTTGTACTGCTAGCACCCATTTCTTGGTAAAAGCGATAATCAGCGACTAATAGTAATGGGCACCTTGTTTTTGTCGGTGTATATTCGTAAGTCTCCGTTTGCCTTTTCACTCTACTACTGCTATTATCTGTCTCTGTATCATCCTCCTCAGAAATATCATTTAAAGTATAATCTGTAGCAAAAAAAGTAATATTATAATGTTGGAAATAATATAGAAAGGATAAAATGTTATTTTATAAAAAATAAATTAATATTCATATTTATAAAGAATCACATACTTATATCTTCTTTAACATAACCACAAGTCTTTGGAGTTCCATGTGTATGACCTTCTCCATCTTGGTAATGCTCCCAACTGAGTTTGACATCAGAAGATTTATAAATAATCATTGTTTGATTATCTAAATGAGATAGATGCCTCCAGGATGGCTATAACACAAATTCTCTTCTTAGTTACGGATAGCAAACTGTCCAGATAATCAAGAATAATAGCTCAAAAATTAAATAATTTATAATTGTCTAAAATGTAATTGTTTCAATATTTTTTAAATTAATTTCTTCAGCTTTAATTCATTATTTCTCATTGTTTACTCGAATAACTTGAATCATATCATAAGCTACCATTTGGTCAGGCAGATGTACTTACTTCAATATGGAAGGTTTCATCCGAGATTGTTATACTACCTGTCATGATACCGTCATCAATGTGCATCTGAGCATGAGACTCAATTTCTCCAAATACTCGTCCGTGGTAAAAATTATCATGATC